TACCAGTCTTGTTTTCAGTATCTATGAGCTTTCTGCCCCCCTCAAAGATTCCACATATAAGAGAGATGATATGGCCTTCTCTTTTATTAACTGAACCTTTGATCTCATATTAAAGTAGGTTAATTTTCCTTTCAATTATAATTCCACACTTACAAGCAAGTCATGTGTCTCTGACAAATGTGTAGCAAGGGGCAGAGGGGAGTGAACTATTTTGGATTACTGAGATTTGGGGAGGCCAGGCTGCACATCTAATGTACTATGTATTAATATGATTAGCAAAGCAGAAGAGAGCAGACTGTAGGGAAGGAAAATAACCAGACAGGTTTAAAAACCTTTTTCCTGGGAACATGGGTGAATAGGCAAATAAGCAAGAACTCTGCCAAAGCAGTTTTCAGGGGAGCTTCAGAAAATCACGTCCTATCTTATCAACCCATCCATCTACCCATTCATTTAACAAATATTACTGAACATATATAGGAAACCTGATACCATGCTAGATGCTGAGGCTACAATGGTGGGCAAGTCAGTCACAGCACTTATGGTCTAGTGGATTATACTGATAATTTAAAAAGCAATTATAAAGCAGTGAGATAAGAGGTGAGAGAGGTATAAACATTACAGAAGGTTTTCTATTGAGATAAGCCATAACTGTCTTCTGATTCTCTATTTATTTATATAAAAGGTGCCAGCTAGTTATCCTGCTTGAGATGATGATGACAGGGTTTAAAGAATATCTATGATACTGTTTATTTGCTATTTTTAAAGGACAGTAAGAACAGCAGCAAAAGTCTCTGGGCTTAAGACACTTAGTTTAGGACTCCACACACGTTCGCAGGGCTTTGGTGGACAGTTCTATAACACTGGCAGGAGAAGATGACGTAGAGAGTGGTGAACGGTCTTTACAACTTGTCTGAAAACACACAGTAGATTGATTTATAGGATAAATGTAAGAGTCCACAAAGGCAAGGAAGGAAAGGATGCTGGGCATGATCAGAAAAGTACTCTAGATGTCAGAAAAGTGGCTTTAAAAACTTTAGTGAACACATACCCATAATCCTTAAATTTCCATTTTCAAAGGGAAAATAGTCAAGAGGACTCAAAAGAATGAAATTCTGATGCAATAATCACAAAGGATCCTACAAAGAAATTAGTGAACACCACCAATAAAATGAACTAAAGGAGGCCTGACTGGAGCAGGGTTAATGTAAATCACTAGTTGGCCAAATACAGCCCTATGTAGTGGGACCCCACAGTCCTGTGTAGCAGGTGTTATCAGCATCAGATACAGAAACCAAGGCACAGGAAACTTGCCTAAGACCAAATAATAAAGTTCTAGAGTCAGACTTGAACCCAGGCAGACTGGTTCCATATCCCTGTTTCTACCTCCTGTCCTATCTACTTCCAGTTTGGGATGATGAAGGATGGGAGGGAGGGAGGCAGACAATATAAGCAGTGAGATCTGTGGGATATTCTTCCTTTTAAGACAGTTAAAATTTTTTTTTAAACCTTTTCTCTTTCTTCTCTACTTATCGCTATTTACAACTAATAGTTTTAAGATCAGGCATCTCTCTACAAACTCTCTAAACAAAATAGAGGACATCATTTATACTTCCCACCACAACAGTCTATGTCTATGAAATCTCTGCACACACCAGTGAATCCAAAATGCAAACTCTATTGCCGAATTCCCTTCATGAATTGAGGCAAACCCCATAACAACTGTTAACACATTAAAAAAGTCACTGGTTAGGGTCATATTTTCACATAGGGACATACGTTCACTATAAATAAATATTTTAGGCTTTGCAGTCCATTGGGTATCTGTTGAATGACTCAACTCTGCCAATACAGCATGAAAGCATCCATAGACAATGCAGAAGTAAATGAGCATGTCTGTGTTTCAATAACCTGTGATAGACACAAATTTAAATTTCATGTAACTTTCAAGTGTCATAAAAATATTTGTCTTTTAAAATTTTTTCTTCAACCCTTTAAAAACATAAAAGTTATTCTTGGGTTTGGGGCCATACATAAACAGGTGGCAGACTGCAGTTTGCCAACTCCTAACATTTACCATTAACGCTGCTTCAATTAAGCCTCTTTAGTTGATTTTATTGATGGTGCTTGCTTGATGCATTGTTGTTAACGAACATAGATGATTGGTTTCCTAGAAAGAGCCTTCCCGCAGTTATTACTCTTCTCTAAACTCTCAGGCCCAAAGATGTCTGAGGATTAGACTTATTCTCACAAAAGATTATCCTCATAAAAGATTTATAAACAAGAATCTAATAAATGAACTTGTAAGCTCTTTCTATTATTGACTATGATTCAAATTCCCCATTTTACAAATACCTGTGACATTGAAGATAATTCAAGGAAGTTCCCTTAAACAAAACATTTAGAGTACATGCTATACAGGCATATAAAAGTTTCTCTATATTTAAGGATCATACTTGTTTCTGGGGCAGAACTTGTAAAAGATTCAGGTTCATTCACTGGCGCAGGACTGTCCTCGAAAGCTGTGTTTCCTGGCTCTGCTGCTTTGTGGTCCTGAGACTGGTCGAAACCTTCATAGCGTCCCGCTTGGGAGGTGCGGTTCATACACATGAGTGATATGCCAGCTATCACAATGCTGCAGGACAGGGCAACTGCTGTGATGATCATCTGTCAACATTGCAAAGATATGTCAGGCCACTTTTCACAATCCCAGCTTGATAATCTTCGTAGATGACTTAAGGGCACTTTTTTGGTGGAAAACGCATTATCTCGATAGCTATAAATGCTCTATAACAGTGGTTCTTAAAAAAGAGGAAGAATATGGAAGGAATGTAAAGTACTTACAGAGAAATTAGGGCTTGTCTCTAATCAAATGAAATGTTTAAGTGTTCTTTTCACTATGTATCATGTCGTTGGTTTACTCTACAAGCAATCTAAAGTAAGTGACAGTGATAGTTGCTCAGTTGTGTTCAACTCTTTATGATCACACGAACTGTAGCCTGCCAGGCTCCTCTGTCCATGAAATTCTTCCAGCAAGAATACTGGAGTGGGTAGCCATTCTCTTCTCCAGAGGATCTTCCTGACCTAGGGATCAAACCTGGGTCTCCCGCACTGCAGGGAGATTCTTTACTGTCTGAGCACTTACAGACTCTTTCTTCACATCAGAGTTTTCGTTTGCTGTAATACATAGCTCAAGTGTACTTCAACTAGAGACCTTATTATGGTGATAATACTAAAGATAAGTACTTACAGCTAATACTTATAATCTTCAGCTAAAAAAGACATATGTGTTAGTTGCTCAGTTGTGTCTGATTCTTTGTAAGTCCATGGACTGTAGCCCACCAGGTTCCAATGTCCATGGAATTCTCCAGGCAAGAATACTGGAGTGGGTTGCCATTCCCTTCTCCAGGGGATCTTTCTGACCCACGGATAGAACCTGAGTCTCCTGCATTGCAGGGAGATTCTTTACTATCTGAGCCACCAGTGAAACCCCAAAACAGACTTAGGTATGTAAAATCATTTTTGTTTTTTGTTTTTTTAATTTCATTTTCTTTTTTATAGACATGTCAAAATATTAATCACATTTTGAGGTGTAAGTTAACAAAGTGACATAGGATCACCAATGTGATATTGGAATAAATTTTCAAAATTAATTTCAATGTAAGTATAGCAAAACACATTAAGCAGCTAAAAAGAGACATTCTCAAGAACAGAACTGTCAATAAACTCTTCTCACCTGCTCTTTTCCATAAAAGAAGGCTGAGTCAATGCTTTCTCCATCATGTTTTCCAGTTATCAAAAGAACACCAACAAGGAGAGCAGGAATCCTACAATAATGAGAGTTTAGAGAGAAAGAGAGAGAGAGAATGAATAGTAACTGTGTATGTGGGACCAGGTAAGCAAACAGAAAGCTACCAACTTACCCCCAGCCAGATATTATGATGATTCCAACAGGAATTTGTACCCTTTCTCTCTTTTTCAAAAGAAACAAAGAAATTGCTAGAAGGCCTAAGAATAAGAAATAGAGATTAAAAGATAGGTGATTACTCTCAATGTTGATAAGACTTCATGGAACTTTAACCAAGCTTATTTCAATAGTAGTCTGTAGTTCTTGCCCTAGAATTTACTCCTTCTAAATAAATGCTTTTCCCAATATTTTGAAGCAAGTTTTCTTAATTCAAAATCATTTGTTTTCCCTCCTATATTGCCTCTTTACTAAAATCTTCTTGTTTCATACATGAGGATTTTTTCAAAAAGCCCAAATCATTTTGTTCTTTTGACTCACGTGTTTGGAACTGAAGTATATTTGCGGGGAAAAAACAAAAAAATTTTTTAACTGGATACAGAGCAATTCTAAAAATAAAAACACCCCCGTTCTGCTGTTTCTAAGAAAGTATAGGCAATTCTCACAAAGGTTTGTTTTTGGAAAACTCACCAAGTCTAAATGATGGGCCTTAATATAAACTTAATACAGAAACAAATGTTTTAAACATTTGGACAGATGTTTTAAAACAAATATTTCATGAGCTTTCCTTATACTTTATACCCAATTATTTATAGAAGTAACATCTTATTTAATAAATTTTACACAGCTATAGAAGCTTAGAACTTTAGGGTTGGCAGGGACCACTGTCTTAAATCAATGCCTTTATATTATAGCTGTGTAAACAACGGTTTGCCCAAGCCACACAGCCAGCAGAGGGCAGAGCAAGACTAGAAACCCAGTCTTCTGACAGAAGCTCTGTTCAGTGCTTCTAAAACTCAAGTCTGTTGACCCATAGGGATCTAGAAATTTCTATGAGAAATGTTAGGTCTTTTTGGTTTATTTGCAGTGGTAACCATCTGCGTGACCATCTTATAACCAAAGCACACTCTCATTATTTCAGGGTTTATATCTGGTTTTATATGAAGTTTGAGCCAAGTGAAGGCCAAATGACACCACAACACAGTTCAAATCAATAACAAGGAATTCACACCTAGGTTTAAGATTATACAGATTAAGTAACACTGTGCTAGCAACAATACAAATCAACACTGAGCTCCTTGAGAACTGTTTTTCTGTATAGGGGACCCACTCAGTTCTCAAGTTCAAGAGATACGATCATACCAGTGCTTCTCCCAATGCATTTGTACCCTCTATTGTTTCAGGTTTAAGGTGCCAGGGAAACAAGTAACCAATCACAAAGGAGTGCCAACTGTGTAACAATAGTGAGGGGACTCATGAAAATTCTAATGTTTATCATTTTATTCCTGCCTTGTGAAAATATAACAGTCTAGGCCTGGATGTCTCACTGATGAAGCTGTGAGAGCTCTTGCCTGAATCAGCTAAACTCTTTGGGCCTTATTTTCCGCATTTGCAAAATCAAAGATTTAAACTAGACTGGTGTTCCCAAAAGCAAGAAGACTGTAGTTGGCACAAGGATGAACTTTTTTTTTTTTTACTAATTATGTTTAACACATACTTGAAAAAATTTTAACTAACACATAAAACCTGGGGTTTTACTGAGGTAAGGCTAAATTTGTAATGTTAAAGTTAAAAAATAAGTTAATTTTAAGGGGGAAAGAAAGGACAAGTGGTATGCAGATATGGCAAAATTCATGAGGATGGTTTGCAAATGAACAAAACTGAAAATGGCTGAACAAAATGATTTTAAATGACCTTTTAGATCCAAAATTTTGTTATAATAATCTCAAGGTTAAAGGGCACCTTCATTGGGGTCAGGAAATTCAGAGCAGCTTCTTTGGGGAGTTTGGTATTCATGCTTGAAGAGGACTTCAGAGAAACTTGGGGCTTTCTGATAAACTGAGCTCTTTACTGCTGTCTTATTCTGATTATAAATTTAACCTTAATAAACCTAAGTATTAGAGATCAAGTTGTTTCCTCTGTATTTGGAAATAATCTCTAGGCTCTTTTAACTGGACAGCTCATGAAAACTCTTACACCATGCAAGGTGTACTTGCCTTTAAAAAAGTACAAACCTCCTGTTTGCACTGAATTCATTTTGTAATTCCTCACCGCATTGTTGCTTCACTTCAAAAAGCTGTTGACTTAGATGGGTCCTGCTTTTGATCCTGAAGGCATGAAATCAAAGGCCTATTCCCTCCAGCCACTTCCCGACATCTGCCTCCTAACAGTGGCTATAACTAGCACAAGTCTACAGTTTCCTTTTATGTGCCGTTTTACAGGTTTGCATTTTTGGTATGACTACAAATCAGCCAGACTGACCGATTCACAGACATACCAGAATGCGTGCACCCAAATTAATGTTTTCCGTCAAATAAGCAGTGTGCTAAAACACTCTGAATATCCTTTTTTGAGCCAGTTGAAATGAAAAATAGTTTTTTCTTACTGACTATTCTTCTATTTCCATGCCCTTTTAATCACTTGTTTTTCTTGTTCTTATATTACTGTTCTTCCCTCTACTTAGTAATACAGTTAAATTTGTTGAATGCCTACCACGTACCAGGCATAAATCCATACTTAATTTAGTTCTCAAAATAACCCTGTTAAGGTGCGATAATCTAAGCTTACACATAAGGAAACTGAGACTGCAAGTTAAGTCATTTGCTTAGGGCAGAATGATGATTATTGTTCATTCAGTTCAGCTGGGTTCTAAGTGCGCTCTGGTACACAGCTCACATCCTCATCCCCCTCTGCCCTTTCCTTCTCTCCCTACCTGCTTCCAGTGCTTGCACCCTCGATGGCTCAAAGGGGAGCTCTGTTGACTGTGGCCTAGAACCCAAGGCCCTGAGGACAAGGACCTGTGACTGGGAACCATCTGAGCCCAGGTAGAAACGGAGTGACTAGGAAGCAGCACTCAGCCTTGCAGGCTGTCTAGTTAGTGAGTACAGCTGCCTGAGCGGATTCCCCAATCCTGTACTGCGACACTTAAAACAGATCACTAGAAACTGGAACCTCAAGAGATGGAGGGGAGGGGACCCTAAATTTCTCCTCATGATCCAACTTACCTGTCCACAGGTAGGTGCTATAGAGGGAGCTGTACAATAAGACAAAGACCAGAATTTGTCCAACAAAATTTTTTTCTTTAACAAAATTCCATATCATCATTCCAGCACAGACGATAGACTGAAGGAAAAAAAAACGATAAAAAAAAAGTCAGTCATACTCACATGACTCACACTCATGTGTTTTATTCATAGCAACTATAATTATTCATTTAAAATTATTGCTGAGTAACGACTGCATTTTAGTTATACTAAATGCAAGGTTTTTATGATTAAAAACCTTTTTATACAGCACCTTTAACAATGTACATATTTAATTGAAACAGATAATGACAACATTCTAAATCCTAAGCTTATATTTAGTAAAGGTTTACAGAGAAAATGCTAAACTTCTTTCCAGTATAATTTGAGACATGCAAAGATTTAGCTAGAAAAGTAATAAGAAAGTTAGATTTTTAATAATTCAATTACTTCTATTAAAAAATGCAAAGTTATCACCAAATATCATTACATTACAGTTGTCTTTTCGTATCCATGGAGGATTGGTTCTAGGACCCCTCCTTATCCCTTGACAGATGATACCAAAATCCAAGGATACTCAAGTTCCTTATACAAAATTCTATACTATTTGCATACAACCTATGTACATCTTCCTGTATACTTAAAAAAATTTTAATTGAAGGATAATTCCTTTACAGAATTTTGTTGTTTTCTGCCAAATATCAACATGAATCAGCCATAGGTACACATATGTCCTCTCCCTTCTGAACCTCCGTCCCAGCTTCCTCCCCATCCCACCTCTCTAGGTTGTTACATAGCCCCTGTTTGAGTTCCATGAGTTTCTGTACACTTTAAGTAACCTACAGATTATTTATAATACCAAATACAATGTTAATGCTATGTAAATAGTTGTTGGCATATGGTAAATTCAAGTTTTGCTTTTTTGGAACTTTCTGGAAATTTTTCTTCTGAATATTTTCAGTCTGTGGTTGGTTGAATCTGAGCATGTGGAACCTATGGATATGGAGGGCCAACTGTGTTAACCTCAGCTTTATATAGTGCAAGATCCAATGCAATATTTAATAAATTAGGAATAAATTAATTATAATCAAATTGCAACAACTGATTGCATTTGGTAAAAAAGACTTTGATTTTATAACTGGAAAAACCCAACGAAGAAATTTTCTCTTCTATAGCAGTATCAGTTCAGTTCAGTTCAGTCGTTCAGTCGTGTCCGACTCTTTGTGACCCCATGAACTGCAGCACACCAGGCCTCCCTGTCCATCACCAACTCCCAGAGTCCACCCAAACCCATGTCCATCAAGTTGATGATGCCATCCAACCATCTCATCCTCTGTCGTCCCCTTCTCCTCCTGCCCTCAATCTTTCCCAGCATCAGGGTCTTTTCCAATCAGTCAGCTCTTCGCATATAATCAATGAGAAAAACATAGCTTTAATTATCTGTAGGTTTACTAACCTGAGCGATGAGTAAATTAGTTGTAAGCATATGAGGAAGCTGTTTATATTTCTTGCTCAAAAGAAGAATAGCCAAAGACCAGATCTTAAAGACAGAGTTTCAAAAGTTATTCAGGTTTCTTAATCTTTATAACTACTTATTAATTACTAATTTTTATTTTTAATTAGTAATTACTTATTAGACTCTTTAAAGAATTCTTTTATCCTGGTTCAAAAAGGAACTGCAATATTTTATTTATTTTAACCTTAGTTCCCAAAAGGGTATTAAGGTAAACTAATATCCAAAGTAAAATAAAAAGCATGGGGAGAACCTATGGTAAATTAACTCCAAAAATGACAGTTTTCAAGAACTAATGCCTTGACCAGGACCATGTTTCAACTTTCCCTACCTTTGGTGGCTGGGGTGGGACATAGGTTCACAGCCAACTATTCAGAAAAAGAGATTAGTGGAAGATGAATTATAATGCACTACCATAAATTTTCCCTTTTTGATTCTACCATATTGGCTCATGAGGTATCTAAATTCCAGGCTATCTTACTTCCAACAATACATGTCACCCTCCTTAAGATGAATTTTCCTGCATTCTTTACATTTAGAAAGATACATAATAGTTACCTAAATATGCTATTTGATTTCCTTCTTTCTTCTCACCTCATTGTCAATCAAAAGTTATGTTGTCTCTCCCCCCTCCACCAAACTGCCCTCTTATCTATGGGCATAGATTTTAAGAATATGTAACAGAAGCAAAATTTCTTAAAAATAATATTAATCACACATGTATTTGTTGCCAATGTATATATTCATCCTTATCTCCTTTGACAGCAAATATTGTCTTTTTTTTAAAGCCAGAATACTATTTGAATTCAATAGGCACTCAATCTACAAGATACTCTAGTTGTTAAGTGTATAAGTATTTAATATGGACTAGATATATTCAAAAGTTTCATTAACATTAAATGGGTGTTTGCTGTTAATCCCAAAGGTCCCTGACAAAAACACAGTTCTACAATAGCTAGTATCTGTATAGTGATTCACCATTTGCAGAATGCTTTTTTATATATCGTCTCATGTAATCCTTAAAACAAACCATGGAAATAGGTGAAGTTATTATCTCTATTTTATAGATGAGAAAACTGAAACTTACAGCAGTTAAGGTTACTCCACAGAGAAATACAGCTAGTTTGTGATAGGTGCATGCGTGCACGCTAAGTTGCTTCAATAGTCTCTGACTCTTTGTGACCCTATGGACTGTAGCTCACCAGGCTCCTCTGTCCATGGGGATTTTCCAGGCAGGAATACTGGAGTGGGTTGCCATGCCCTCCTCCAGGGGATCTTCCCGACCCAGGGATCGAACCCGTGTCTCTTATGTCTCCTGCATTGGCAGGTGGGTTCTTTACCACTGAGCCACCCAGGAAGCCCCAGGTTGTGACAGGACCAAGAGTCAAATACAAGTCTGACTAAATCTCATGCCTTGTCTGTTATACAATTCTACCTCCCAAATGGAAAGGCAAAACTCAGAAGGCTGATATTACATTTTATAGGCAGGCTTCGGTTTTCTCTATTGTACAAGAAATTAGGTTTTTATTCCCTAACTTTCTATTACCAAGCTATTTTCAGATTCATTCTGTGATTTTCATTCATTTTTATACTGAATCATACTTACCAAGGAGACCAGGCTGATAATACTTATATCAAAACTAACATTCTGGATGGCATATGCCAATGGCTTAGGGTCCATGGTGGGAAAAGTCAGTAACCAGGCAGAAACGTACATGATCGGTGCAGACACAAATGTGCTTATTACCATCCCTGAGGTTATCTGCCAAAATGAAATCAAATTGAGGAAGAGTCACAGACTCAAACAATTTACATAAATTTTAGCCACAGCACACTAAGGCATTCTAAAATAAAAGCAAGAGTCAGTAAAATCATAGAATCCAACATGTTATCAAAGAGCATATTCCCCTTTTCTGAGCGTTCTTAAAGAAACACAGTTAAGTTCCTTTGGCTCCTCTTTTAATTCATGCTCAATTTATATATGCATATAACAAATGCTAGAAATCTCACAGCTGATGGTTATTGTCTAGGTTCTTGAAAGTAAATCATATTAATGATCTACTTAAACTGCTGATCAGTTTCTTTCCATACTGTTTGATAAACTATAGGGCAAAAAAAGCAATTTCAAAAAGAGAAAAATTACCATGCAAACATTCTACTGATTAAATAATGGAACTAATGGAACTTCAGTGAACAATTTAGTTCCTTCACGTTGTTTTCAAAAACATCTTCTCTAATGCTGTAGATAACATATCCAGTATGCTTGGACACTAGTTGGTGTTAACCAATTTAACTATTTATTGCAGTTGATTATGTGGTGTTTTGCATCTGGTGGCTGGATTATCAATGAATGAAACAGAGTTTTCTCCCTCAAATTTCAAAAATTACCCTTCTATAAATAACCTTCAGGCTTAACTATAATTACAGCATTAAAATACTTGAAGCTAAAAAGATGAATGAAAAAATTCATGGCTGATTAAAGATCCCAGATTAAATAACTCTATTGTTACATGATGCCTCTTTATTTACAATGAGGCAGTTTCCAGATATCAAATTCTCATAAAATAATGTAGATTTCTGTGTTTCAAAAATTCATTTTCTACTAACCAAACAATCAAACTTAGCAAGAAATATATACATACAATCTCTACTTCCATGTTGAACTGTGTTGCGAAGATAGCCACTCCTGGTGCTACAGGAAAGACACCATACAAAAATGCGTAATTTGATAAACTTGTGTGGTTTACTACATTGTCGTCCTTGTCCAAGAGTTCCACCATTTCTCTGCACAGAAGTGGCAGCACCAGGCTGAAGAAACAAGAAATGCATCATTTGCTTGATATCAAAGCATGCTGGTCCCCAAGTAATAAATTGCTCTAGTGAATTTGGCATTAGGTTTTTCTTCTTCTGCCCAGAAGGTATCATTTTATTGAAAGAATCAAATATTCAACTTGGAGCTACTTAAAGTAAAACAATATTCTTTAAACATCAGGAATTAGGAGGAAAAGAAACTCAGATTGTTTGTGTTCTATGAATAATTTTCTTGCAAAAAATTTATAAAATGTTGCAATTATACTGCTGTTACTTGCTTTCCATATTCACTGCAATGTTAAAAATTAAAAAAAGACTCACAATCTGAGTAAACTTGTTTAAAAGAAAATTACTAAACATTTTTTTGGGGAAAAAAACAGCTGACTCTTATTATGATCAGGGTTTTAAATCGTTCAGGTAATAACAATGATACTAAGTAGATTCTAAAAGACAGTAGAGAAATAGGTATCTTACAATTAGTTTTTTATCTTTGTAAAGAAAAGAGATTTAGCAAAGGGAACTGTAATAACTGAGGTAGAGCAGAAGCTAGTTAAATTCAAATCTGGTGAAGAGTCAATTATGAAACAAATCCTTCAGGATTCCATAGAAAGAGCATATCAAAAGTAAGTGAATTAAAGGAGCTTTCCTTTAAAAAGAACAAAACCAAG